CGCGTAGACAAAAGAGTGTACTTTAATTTAATATAAGTTTCATTAAAATCTATTCACTTTTAGTATAAGAAATATTTACCAAAACTTTTCAAAGAAATAGCAAAGTTGCACAATTTACAGTATTGCATTCTCTGACATTTCCTGAACTTTAAATGCTAAATTTATAACTCCATATGGTATTCTACGCGTAGACAAAAGAGTGTACTTTAATTTAATATAAGTTTTATTAAAATTTATTAACTTTTAGCATAAAAAATATTTACCATATTTTCAATACTGAAGATACCTAGATTATTAAACACTAGTCTAGATAGAATCAGTATTTGATTACGTGTGATAAGATAAGGTGTTTAGGATCAAATTGTATTGTAATATGTTAAGTTTTATTTAAATGTATGACTCTGTAAAAAAGATAATATGTATTGACACGTGAACTGTAAATGATCAAGTTGCTGATGAAGTCCCCAGTAAGGGACGAAACGTACAACTAGTTCAAAATAAATTGCTCATTAGATTTATTAACCGTCTATAATTCCCTTTGAGACTTATATATTATTAACATATTTTTGGACAAGAATATTGATAATTAAATTTATCCAAAAGTTAAAGGGAAAATTATATTTTAAAATTGGTAAATAAAATGTCAATAAATGTTTAAAGAAAATTAATACAAACGTTTAACACATATTTTTGATGAGAAAAAAAACGTGAGAAAGAAAAAAGAACCGATAGTTTCATTTTGAAATATTACATTGCATTGGACGGACATTTAAAGCAAGTGAAAACTCCCGCCATTATTTCGAGCAAATAAAAATTCTACCATGTCAATAAATTTTCGGTGAAAAAAAAACAAGCATAAAATCTGTCACTATCGAATTTCCAACGAAATAGAGAAAAAGAAGGATGTTTTTTATTTTTTGAAATATTACATTGCACCGGACGGACATGTAACGTGAATAAGAAACGTCGTTATTTTTTGGAACTACGAAATCAATGACTAACGTAGTAGTAGATCCTAAAACTACTTTTTAAATGGAATCTACTTATCGACTGATCGCAAAAATATTGAAGAAATGATCTGTTTAAATAAAACCATATGTCAATAAATCTTTAAGGAAAACAAATAAATACGTTTATCGAGTTTTTCACGAGCAAGAAAAAAACGGAATGAGAAAAAGGAAAAAGAGAAACAAAGAGAGAGAGAGAGAGAGAGGGAGAAAGAGAAAGAGAAAGGGAGAAAGAACGATCCTTTCCATCGTGACGATTCACGAAACGGAAAGGATCGTAACCGAAGGTAAAGCTCGAAATGCGGTAGATTCTGTACGCAGGCGTGGTATACATTCTGCATTGGATAATTTGCACGCTTCGCGAAGCGGAATACTCGATTTTGAATTTACTCGTAACAACCTTGAGAGCGATAGAAAATAACGATGAAAAAATGGTAAAACTACTATAAAACCGATACGCGAGCTCTATCCTTTTGTGTCGATAACTTGAACGATCGATAAATTGAATTTACTACCCGTCCAAATTTCCTTCATCCATTCGTTGTAATATTCTCTAGTTTCATTACAATGAACGATTCTCGTAATATTATACAAAGTTAAATTATATTATACCTGATTAAAGGTAGAAACTTTGATGCGTACAATGTTTGTCATTATAGACATGGATTATTAGAAATTCCTTGTTCTCTATAATGCGTTATTTTTGAAAATGGTCACATTGTTCAATCGTTTATGATATAACCTTATGCTCGTAATATTCGTTGAATATTTCATTAACTAATAGAAACTACATATTACCTTAAATTCAAATAGAACTATTAGTCGAACATTCCTGATGAAAAATTGCAAAGAATTTGTGGGTTTATAACAAAAAAAAAAGGAAAACTGATAATATACGAATTAAAAATATCGCAATATTAACGTACTTATTTTTCTATGTATATTATACTTATGTGTATAATTATTAAACAGATAAAAATCTATAATATTAAATATAAAAATTATTAAAACTAACCCTTGAAAATCCACCGTAAGAACGCTGGCAAGGAACTTAAACAGCAGAAAAAAATGAATAAGTGCTCTCAATTGCACACTATTTACTCAATCAAAATCTATGATATAATTGCACACTTTATAAATTAATTATTTAGTTAGTTATTAATAATTTAAAAAACAAAAACGTTTTTCTAATTTCTAAGCAAAGCAATGAAGTTTTCTATTGTTTTTTGTTTCCAATCAATTGCTGACTTTTAGTATGTCCGTTTTTCTCCGGTCTTTCTAGTTCTAATATGATATCGGTTTTTTTTTTTAATCTAGCAAGTCTTTCTCTCTGTTTCTGTTCCAAGACAATTTTTCTTAACGAGTAAACTCCTTTAATTAATAATTTAAACAAGATATCTATATTAGATTTCTAATTGTTGTTTGTTTTTAAATGTATATAGAATTTAATTACACATTCACTTTGTGTAAACTACTTGCTATTAAAAGTTACTAGGAAATACGAAATTTTAAAATACATTGAAATTCTAGTAACATTGTTAAGCCGATAACGGTACTTATAAATTTTATTCTACGGTAGGTTTTTTTACTGTCGGTAATTCTGATGATAGGTTACCATCAGATCTCAATCGGTAAGATAAAGGTAGAGCACTACTATTACCGATATGATGCTTAGCAATGTTACTAGAATTTCAATATATTTTAAACTTGCTTATTTTTTAGTAACTTTTCATAGCAAGTAATGTACACAAAGTGAATGTTTAATTAAATTCTATATACATTTAAAAACAAACAACAATTAGAAATCTAATATAGATATTTTGTTTTAATTATTAATTAAAGGAGTTTACTCGTTAAGAACGATTGTCTTGGAACAGAAACAGAGAGAAAGACTTACTAGATTAAAAAAAAAACCGATATCATATTAGAACTAGATAGACCGGAGAAAAACAGACAAACAAAAAGTCAGCAATTGATTGAAAACAAAAAACAATAGAAAACTTCATTGCTTTGCTTAGAAATGAGAAAAAACGTTTTTGTTTTTTTAATTATTAATAACTAACTAAATAATTAATTGATAAAGTGTGCAATTATATCATAGATTTTGATTGAGTAAATAGTGTGCAATTGATAGCACTTATTCATTTTTTTCTGCTGTTAAGGTTCCTTGCCAGCATTCCTACGGTTGAAAATTCCCTATGCCAATTAAAAGAAAGTTTTTAATACGCTAATTACGAAAAAATAGTTCCTTGGGAGAATGCCAAAAAATAAACCTATGGCGGAATCTACAATTTAAACCATACTTACTCTGTCAATAAAATCACATTCTAGTTCAAACTTTTCTTCAGCAGAGGGCGAGTATTTCTAGTGTTTCCTGTCTTTTTAGATCCAGATAAATATCCGGTATGTTTCTTCCTTATGTACTTCTGTAATTATTTAAACATATCTCTACAATTAATAAAAAAGTAAGAAAGATAATAGTGAGAATTGGTTTAATGTGATGTTAAGGTGTAAATTGAAATTTAATTTAACAACATTTTGCAAATAATCTTACGATTTCAACAGATTCTAAATACTGCTTTGTATCACGATGTTTGTCTTCAACATAATCACGTTAAAAACAGTGAAATAAATATTCGATTGATTCAAACATAGTATAAGTTCTTAAAAAGAACTTAAACAAATGAGTTTTATTGAAAAATTAAATGAATACTCATGAATTTCAATATATTTATACATAATATAAATATTGATTAGTGATATATAAGTAAAATACATAAAACTCTATATATTACTTATTGTAATAACCTTTTTTACAGAAATGGCAGACGTTGCTGCGACTCCTAAATCCAAAACAAAATCTCAGAAGAAGCCAATAGAAAAGGCTTCAGAACCTGTACCGTTAAAAAAACGGCCTTTCAAAAGACATGGACGTCTTTATGCTAAGGCTATTTTTACTGGTTACAAGCGTGGTCTTCGTAATCAACATGAACATACAGCTCTATTAAAGGTTGAAGGAGCGAGAACTAAATGTGATTCTGACTTTTATATTGGCAAGAAATGTGTTTACGTATACAAAGTAAGTGTTTTAATATTGAATTATAATAATTTGACAATGAGAGCATATAGTTACAAATATTTATCTTTTCAGGCTAAGAATAGAACACCTGTTCCTGGTAAAACTACCAAGAAAACTAAAGTAAGAGCCATTTGGGGTAAAGTAACACGTCCACATGGTACCAGTGGTTCAGTTCGTGCTAAATTCAAGAGAAATTTGCCAGCCAAAGCTATGGGTCATCGCATTAGAATTGTAAGTATAAATTTTCTTAATTCTTAACTATAGATCACAAATTTCTCTAAATTTAAGTCAGAAAGATATAAATTTTTATTTTCTTCATTCTGTGTTGCAGATGCTGTATCCTAGTCGAGTTTAAGTTTATACATAATATAAATAAATAAAAACGTAAACATCATTTGATTTATAATTTTGTAATATTATTTATATAACCTTCCTACAATAAATAAGCCTATTCTATTAATTATATAATAATTATAAAAAAATATGATGCATGCTCCAGAATTGCATGAATGAAAATATAACAAAACTTAACCTTTAAATTTTTTGAATTCTTGCGTCATATCGATATAAATAACTTGTTATCGTAAAAGTTGATGGACGTTAAAAATTATTAATATTTTTTAATTATCTCTTTTAACGTAACTTAAAAATGCAATAATCATTATAAAAACAACAGTTAATATTGATTAAATATGTGTCAGTGAAGGAAGCCATTTTCTGTTACCACACACACAAGTTTTGAATAAGTCGTAGGAACTTTCAGAGATTAAAGTAACTATTAATTATTTGTTAAAAATACTGTGCACCGTTAGTACCTTTAATAATTCGTCGATATTTACGTGATTTATAGTGATCGAGATCGAAGAAAAAAAGAATTTGTATGAATCATCAATTTTCGTGGAGGAAAAATTAAATTTTTTCCTCATGTCAAACGATGCAATGTTGTGTTTACTCTTTTGAATAGATCAGTGGAAGGAAAAAAAAACAAAAAAGAAATAAAGAAAGACAACAACAAACAAAAAGATGTTTTGCTGTTTGAGAAATTGTTTTGACGGCATTGGGTTTACTGCAACCCAAATTCCAAAAAGAGAACCAAATCCGATTACTTTGGATACAACTCATATGGGTAACCATCATTTTTTCCGCAGAAAAATCATTCAAGTAAATCTAATTATTTGTAGGAATTATATTTCTACGTATTTATCAATTGCATTTTTTTCTTTACTTGACATCAATTAACAAAATAGAATTTGTTCTATTTTAAATTTAATATTGTATATATATTTATATATACGTTTGACGTTCATTGTTTGTAATTTTATTTAATAATATAAAATATCCAAAGAATTGAGACGAAGAAAAGAATAATAATGAATGTAAATTTATTAATATACTTTCGAGAAGCATGACAATTCTTTTTTGTTGTTGAACCTAACCAAAATAGACAAATGATTACAAAGGAATATTTCATTTAGATATATATCATTTCTGCTCTCTATATTTTATATTTTTAATTTGCAGGACACGAAGTAGTTATAGTCAAAAATGGTTTAAGAGTTTGCGGACGTGGTGGTGCCTTAACAAATGCACCTCTTGCTCAAAGCAAGAGTTATTTCGAAGTTAAAATACAGCAGGGTGGAATATGGGCTATTGGATTAGGTACCAAATCTACTGATCTTACTACTGCGATTGGAGGAAATGACAGCGAAAGTTGGGCTCTTAATTCAGATGGCATTTTAAGGCACAATCAGCAAGAGTTGCATAAGATTCAAAATCCTGTAGAGGAAGGAGATATTGTTGTAAGATTAATATAAGATGTGTGTCATTTAGTAATAATGGGAATATACACAATTAATGTTAACACTTTTAGGGAGTGTCCTACGATCATATAGAATTAAATTTTTACATAAATGGAAAATCTTTGGAAGCTCCAATCATTGGTATCAAAGGAACAATTTATCCTGTACTTTATGGTCTGCTTCTATTTTATCTTTCATCTAATTTTATAATGATACATAGTATTATTTTATGTCATTAATAATTATTATTATAAAAATATTTTCAGTTGACGATGGAGCTATATTAGATTTAATTCTGGATAATTTTGCTCATCCACCGCCCATGGGTTTCGAAAAGATAATGCTAGAACAGTCGTTACTCTAGCAATACACACACACAACATGATATGAATAATATTGAAACGACTAATTATCAGACAATTTTAAACTATTCCACTCAAACTACACTTTGTCCATCTTAAGAACAAATAAATGTTGCGTTAATTATATATAATTCTATTTGCAGTTAAATATTGTATACAATAACATAAAAAAAGAATGTTTA